ATTTAGTGGGAAAGATTTGCTGTTTATAAAAAAAATTGTTCCAAATTATGTGAAAATTACAGATTTCAGACTATATACATCAGTTTTAAATTGTGTTGATAGATAAATTACAGAAATTTATTTTTAATGTTGGTCATATTTGAAGTGGAGAAGAGCACCGAGCGGACTGACGGGAGTAACCCCCAGTCAGTCTGCCTGCTGGCATTAATCGTATTAATTGTCAAGTGCCAAAAGGTAATCGATTAATGTTTTTCTGACGATTAATTGCACATGATATGATTATGCCCAACCCTATTAAACAGTGAATTTTGCATAATAGGTCCCCTTTAAGAATTACTCCTACACTTCACTTAAAGATTGAGACACTTGATAACTGACTTTTACTCTCAGCTTTTAACTAAGAATTGTTTTACACTTAAGTCCATTCTTAGCTACATACTTAAGAGTAATTCTAAGATGTTTTATAAATACGGGCCCTTGACATTATATAACTGATGATCACATGGACATTTATAGACAATAATGTTTAATGTATGCATAAGCCCACATACTTGTACACAAGTTGAGGATGTGTTGTGGCTCTTTTTACAGCRTACTGCACTCCTCTGGATCCTGCTCCTTCATGGAGACTGTACAGGCTCAGCACTTTACAGAAACTCAAAGGGCCGTATAATAATGATGGACTAGTGCAAGTCAGTTATTTGTTGATGTTGGTGTCCCCACTTTTATACAGTATTACATAACCTTATGTTCAGGTTTATGTGGAGATTACATGTTTGTAGAAATAACATTATCCTGATACTAACAGATGCTGCACAAAGCTGAGTTTAAGTCCAGAATGTGGAACCACTGGTGGTGTGRCCTTTCTGTAAATCACTGACTTGTATTTTTGATTAATACCTTTATGTTATTTATTTGTATTTTTAAAATTAATTTCTGTTTTTATTCTTCTTTGTTATCCTTTTCCATACGGACTTATCTGTGTCTTAATAGTTATTGACTGATTGACAGATGTGCTATGCTGCAGGATTTACAGTTCAAACCAGAAGTTTACATACACCACATAAAGATATTTTTTCTGTCTGACATGAAATCAGAATAAATTTTTCCAGTTTTAGGCYAATTAGGATCTTTTTTCTATTTGCTAAATGTCAGAATAATGAGATTTTTAAAGACTTTTTTGACTTTCTTCAAAGTCAAAAGGTTAGATTCACTCAGATTACCATGCCTTTCAATTATTTGAGACATTAGATGTCACGTCTGTGGAAGCTTTTGATGGTTCACCTGTGGATGTAATCTAAAGAAACTTGCTGTTTCCTCCTGTAACATCAGAAATCAGCCAACACATCAGAAAGAGAAGTGTGGACCTGTACAGGTCTGCTTCATCCTTGGTGCAGTTCCCAGATGGCTGAAGGTGCCTCGTTCATTAAATACGAGTACGAACAAGATGGGAATGTCCAACCATCATAACACTCAGGAAGGAGACCAGTTCTATGTCCCAGAGATGAACAAGCTTTGGTCTGAAGTGTTCATCAACCCAAGACCAAAAACAAAAGAGCTGGAGAAGATGCTGGATGAAGCTGGTGAGAGTGTCCCTATCCACAGAGAAACCAGTTCTGTTTCCACGTCAGGGAGAAGCCATTACTTCAACAAAAATGTACAACAAAGACAGATTAATGTTTGTAAATACACACAGGTACAAAGACCTTCCTTTTGATCATAATGACCATCGTTWTGTTTGGAGGAAAAGTCTGAGAACTCCATCCTGACTGTGAAACACGGGGGTGGCAGCATTATGTTGTGGGGATGTTTTTCTGCAGGAGGAACCGGTGCACTTCACAGAACAGATGACGTCATGAGGAAAGTACATCATGTGGAAATAGTGAAGCAACATCTCACGACATCAGACAGGAAGTTAAAGCTTGGACACTAATGGGTCCTCCAAATGGACAAAGAGCTGAAGCCAAACTGGTTCCAAAGTGTTTCAAAGAGAACAAAGTTGATGTTTAAGAGTGGCCATCACAAAGCCCTGACCTCAGTCCTAAAGAAAATGTCTGGTCAAAGCTGAAAAGGCTTGTGAGAGCAAACATGGCTCAGCTCCACCAGTTCTGTCAGGAGGAATGGACCAAGGGTCCTGAAACCACTGTGACAAGCTTGTGGAAGGAGATCAGTCATAAGTTAAAGGACAACGGTACCAAAACTAATGAAGTGTATTTAAACGTTTGACTTTAAAGAAAGTAAGAATAACTGCCTTAAAATGTTAATTCTCTCTCTTTCTGTCATTATTCTGGCATTTAGCAAATAGAAACAAATGCTTATCCTAACTGACGTAAAACAGGAAAAGTTTATTCTGATTTCACATCAGGAAGTGTGWAAAATGCACGTGTTGCCATGCCATAATGGAAACCTATGGCTTCAACCGTACCTGCACAACTCTGTGCATTCAAATTTTAAAATATTGTGATTTAACCTTTCAACAGACTCAGAGTTAATATTCTTACCATCAACCCCACAAACAATAATTAAATATGATAAAYGGCATTTCCTTTGCTTTTCTACTTGTCGTTTCTGGACACAATAAAAACAATTCATGTTGAGGTCCAGTAAACCAGATTCATTATTCAGCTTTTAAAAACAGTTCAAATATTTACTGTAGAAGCTTGTTTCAGACAAACTAAACTAACACTGAAGCAGATTTCTGGTTTTACACAACATATATCAATAATCGTTTTTGTCTTAATTATGCCCAACTAAAACAAAAACATCTTAAATACAAAAACAMAAGAGTTGTAAAATTCCTCCWGTAAAACATTTACATAAAATGTGTTGTTTTGTGATTAATGACAGAGGATCCAGAAGCATTTCCCACATCAGAAGACCAACATTCAGAAAAACCAACACAGCTAACATGGTGGGTTTGGAGAATAATCACAGTAACAAGTGAAAAAGCACCAAAATTACCAAATATGTAGACGACGATGACCGTTCCGCCCAGTCCCATGAGTCCACCTAACCGCAGCGCCATCTTATTAATGTAGGCCATGAACTCTTCCTGTTTCTTTTCCTCCTGCTCTCCATCCTTGTCGCTCTGCCCACCCTCTGCAGGCAGCTGGCCCTGAGCAGAAAGAAAAACTTTTTTTTACCTGAAATATCAGTAAAACATATGGATGGACACAGAGCAGTGATGCTGCGCTGAAAAATAAAGCTGTCACGATTAATCGACGACTAATCGACAATTAAAATAGTCGATTAATTTAATAGTCAATTAGTCGTTTTATTATTGTTTTATTATTATTATTTGTGCTTTACTTTGTTTTTG